TTTTGGTAGGATCATCATTTTTATTGCGGCAACCCTTCCCATGAGTGATATGGATAGAGATTTCCATCTAGCCAGATCACCTTCTACTTTCTTTAAAAGTGGGATATGGTTTAATTTAGTTAGATCTGCAAGCTTGGGAGAAATATTAATACCTAAATATTTTATATTTCCCGATTGCAGTGGAGTAGAAGAAGAATTATGGAAGGAGCAATTAATCGGAAGGACTGTAGATTTTGACCAGTTAGTTGAGTAATCTGATATTCTTGCAAGAGTTTATCAATTCAATCACCCCAGAGATATTGGTTTGTGAGTTTTGGAGAAAAAGTAACACATCATCCGCATAAAGGCTGATTTTATGTTCCACGTTCTTGCATTTTATGCCCTTAATTGCTGAATTCTGTCTAATTGCTGCTGCTAGAGGTTCAATAAAAATTGCAAACAGTGAAGGGGAGAGTGGGCATCCCTGTCTGGTCCCCTCAGGAGACAGAAGCTGGAGGATGTCTGGTCATTTGTTCTGACACAAGCTGTTGGGGAATTATATAATATTTTTAACCAGTTGATGAAAGAGGATCCAAAACCAAATTTGTGTAAAGTTGCAAATAGAAATTTCCAGTTAACTCTGTCAAATGCTTTTTCTGCATCTAAAGAAAATATTGTAGTTTCAAGGTTTTTACTGTATGAGTAGTCAATCAAATTAAGTAATCTACGTGTGTTTGTTGATGAGTGCCTACCTTTTATGAAACCAGTTTGGTCAGGATGAATTAAGAGGGGGTTATTTTCTCCAGTCTCTTTGAGAGAGCTTTGCAGATTATTTTGAGGTCTACATTTATAAGGGATATTGGACGATAGCTTGAGGGATATACAGGCTCTTTGCCTGGTTTTAGCAGGAGACTAATGTTGGCAGAATTCATATTTGATAGAAGTCTGCCCTTTTCTTTGATTTCTAACAACGTTCTGTAGAAAACTGGTGCTAGAATCGTCCAGAATTCTTTGTAGAATTCTGCAGGAAAGCCGTCTGGACCTGGAGCCTTATTATTGGACATACTTATCAG